TGATGTTGATCATAACACACCATTGGCCATTTAGTTAAAAAAAAAAAGCATTATGCCCGTGCATACACACCAGTTACTTTATGTACAATAAAGGAATGGGGGAAGGGAATCAAAGAAGAGAGAAAACTATGCTGTAGTAGTTAGGATGTGGATGAACCAAATCTTGGTTTTCTAACTGTGAATGTATTGTTTTCCTTGGGAGCACAATTGTGGAGTACAGTTGCATGTTCTCTTTTTAGTAAGCCCCTCCTGTCTGCTGCTGGAATACATCAATTGTATCTTCATTCTCCATTTCCAACTGTGCAGGTGTGTCTGTTTCATTGATTGGTTGCTCATCAAATCGGAATCTGATCTGCCTCATTGACAAACCCTGTCGTTCACAATAGGCTTTCATTAGTTTAGAAAGTGGCGTGTGCCTCTTAATCTTAAATTGCACCACCGAACCATCTTGCGCTGCCACCTTCAAATTAATGTGGTCGTTGTTTTCAGTCTTGACGCCTTCCTTGGGCCTTTCATCGGCCATGGCGAGTCCGGGGGTCTCCTCAGCCGCCGCTTCACAAAAGAGGCAACAGGATGGTCGGCTCCAAGGGAATCGGGGGAGAAGCGGCAGCGATAGGAGCACGAGAAGGAGGAAGATGATGGTGGTGATGGTGAGGGAGAGCCAAACAAGCATTTATTAAGCCCCTACTAAGTTCCAAGAACTGTCCCTAGGAGCTGGGGATAGAATCAATCACGTGTGTGTGTGTGTGTGTGTGTGTGTGTGTGTGTGTGTGTACACAAACATACATTCATTCAGAGAAGGTATGGCTTCCGCTCTAAGGACAAGCAGGGTTTAGGGTGCGAGGGAGCAAACCCGCGCCCGCCACTCCGGGGCGCAGGTCCCCAGAAGGACGCCCTACCGGTACCTCGTCAGCGATCCCACTCGGTGGCCCTAAACCTCGCGCCTCACTCTCCAGAGACCCACCGCATGCCACGTGCTCTTCGTCTCCAAGCAACGGCTGCCCCCGCCCCCCACCTCGGCCTCGCCTTCGCTCTGAGCCTCACTCCGCCAAGCTTCTCCCTTTAGCCAATCCTCAAGCAGAATGTTAGCAGCTCTAAAGGCGATTGGAGGAAGAGCGGTGCTTATCACTCGGAGACTCCGCCTGTCGGGTCATTTTGGCTGCGAAGGCGAAGGTGGAGACCAGTATTCTGCGGCTACCGGAGCCAGCCGTTGGGGTAGGTGAGGGAGGGACCCGGGAACCTGGGACCCTATCTCCGACCACTCTTCTCCGCCGGGGCGCGGCTCCATCCGGGCCGGGGGGGCGGAGCCGTGGCTGTCATAGGGGTCTGGACGGTTGACTTGCTTGGCCGGCCCCAGGCCCAGCCCCACCTCGGAGCTTGTTGGAGCCGGTTTCTGGGGCCTGACAGGGCCGGGCTCTGCCACAGTCCCCAAGCTGCTGTGAGGATTCAGTATGTGGAGGGATGGCTGCTGTGCAGCCGACCCGGCTAGAAGTCCTCGTCCATCGTTTTCATTTACGGCCCCTAGAGGCCAGCTAGGCCCTCGTGAGGGCACCTAGCTCCTCCCATGGGCTCCTGCACTTGGAGATCACCAAAATAGTGGTGGTGCAGATCAAGGACAGGTCACTTGCCTGGTTTGTTCTCGAAGATATAGGAGGAAAAAGATAACACAGTCTCAGGCAGTCTAATAAATATTTATTAAGCGCCCACTATGGACCAGGCACAGTGCTAAGCTCTGAAGATACAAAGAGAGGCAAAAGATAGTTTCTGCTCTCAAGGAGCTCACAGTCAAATGGAGAAAGCAACATGCAAATAACCATGTACAATCAAGATAGATACAGGATAAACTGGAGATAATCTGCCGAGGGAAAGCAGTAGCATTAAAGAAGGGGTTAGGAAAGGCTTCTTGTAGAAGGTGGGGTTTTAGCTGAAACGAGAAGGAAGTCAGAGGTGGAAATGAGGAGAGAGTCCCAAGCATGAGAATGTGAAAATACCCAGTCAGGAGATGGAGTGACTTACTCAAGGAACAGCAAGAAGGCAAGTGTCGCTTGGTGGCAGAGTAGGAGGGAGGGATATAAGGTGTAAGAAGACTGGAGAGGTGGGGAGGACAGGTTATGAAAGGCTTTGAAGATCAAACAGTATTATATTTGATCTTGGAGGTGTTAAGGAACTACTGGAGTTTGAGTAGTAGGGATAACATGGCCTCTCAGCTTGAGGCCTATGTGGATTTATGGTTAAGGGCATGGAGGTGAGGTGCAGTGGAAGCATTCAATTCATCAGGCACTGCCTTTTGTGTGCCAGGCACCGGAATACAAGACACAAATATGACAACTTCTGAGACTAAAGGTGCCTGTGCAATTCTAGGAAGAAACAGCACATACAGAGAAGTAAACAAAATCTATGGAGGAATGATGGTTGGGGACTGGAACACTAAAAACTGGAATAATCAGGAAAGGGTTCTTGTAGAAGGTGGCATTTGAGCAGAGCCTTTAAAGATGTTATGGATTCCAAGAGGTGGAAGTGAAGAGAGAATATTCCAGGTGTGGGGGACAACTTGCAAAGGCATGGAGGCAAGCGATGGAAACTTTTCCAAGTTCCAAGAGCTTGTCTCATAAATAGTAAAGTCCTTATTAGTACATTGAAGATCTAAAAACCTAAAGTTGGGCTTATTTCCTTTGTCAAAGAGTGCTGCAGTTTAGAGTTAGGAGACTTCAGTTCCGGTCCTCCATTTGCTACTCACAGTCTTGTATGCTCTTGGAAGGTCAGTTAACATTTTTGGGACTGAGTTTACTCATCTGTAAAAGGAGGGCATTGGAGCTCCCTTCCAGCTCTTGAACTCTGATCCTAAGGGCAAAGAACTCTGCATCCTAGTATGAACTTGATTGGAGACTCTGGTTTCAGATGCCTGATATGATACTACCTTTGTCATTTTAAACAAGTCATTCTACCTCTCTGGGTCTTTGCTTCCTCATTTGTAAACAAAGGAACTTCTCTCTTCCTGTCCCTGTGCTACTGGAGGAAGTCATGCAACAGAATTGGGTCCCCTACAAATTTATCCTATCTCATTTCAATTTGATTGATTTTCTATTCCTCTCACCTCAGCAGCTGTTCAAATCTTGTTTTCTCTCCTCAAGCCCCCAGTGGTGCCCCTATACCACCTGTAACTCAACTTAGCAGTTGTCCTTGTCTCTTTTTTACTAAGAATGTCAACACATTGAGCTTTCTCATTTTCCCAGTACCATACCTCAAAATCATTTTACACCTTTAAAAATTCATGGATTCCATTTGTTTTTACATCCTTTCCTTTTTGAATATACTCCCCCTACTTTATCTGTCCTTTTCCTTCTTAACTCCATTATCTGAGGAATAAATGGCCCTTTTCCTTGCCAAGGCCAGTGTTGCTACTTGTGCCCTTTTTCTGTCCCCTTTCAAGGGGACAGTTCAAGAATGTTGTCCTATTGATAACTCCTTTCTCAGATGGGTCCTTCTCATTGGTTTCTTCCTTGCTGACTACAGACATGTCTAGATCTCCTCTGTCCTTAAAAAAACCCAAAAACTGTGTTGATGTCTCTTGTTTATACATTACCTTCATTTCCCAAAGTAATCTTACACTCCCCTATCCAAAGAGCAATCTCTTATAATAAAGAGTAAATAAGAAAGGAAAATTAGGCAGTTCTGCAAAACTAACCAACTTATTAACTGAAGACAAATGTATATTCAGTGTACTTCATTCACAGTTATTCACCTCTAGGAGGAAAGAAGTACATTCTCATACCTCTTCTTTATGGCCAAACTTGGTCATTATAATTATGCAGTTCATATTTTTTGTTCGTTTCATTTATATTATTGTACTCATTGTGTATACATTGCAATACATATTGTTTTCGTAGCACTTAACACGTGGCAAGCACTTAATGAATATTTTTTCATTCTTATTTCTGTATACTTCACTCTCTTTCAGTTCATGTAAGTCTTTTCATGCTTCTCTGTATTCTTCTTAGTCATTTTTCTTACAGTGCAGTAATATTTCACTGCATTCATGTACCACAGTTTGTTAAAGCTTTTCCTCAAATGACGGGTATCTACTTTGTTTCTAGTTTTTTGATGCTACAAAAAGTTTTGCTGTAAATATTTTGGGAAGGTGTATGAGAGTCCTTTCTGTCTTGGGGCACTTACCTAGTAGGATCTCCCTTATTCTTAAAAAATGTCCAACTTACCTTACTATCCCCTCAAACTACTGTACTATGTCTCTCTTCTTTTTTTATTGGCAAACTCTGCATGCCCTCTCCCGCTTTGGCTCACTCCAAGCCTCATTAGGGTACCTGCTAGCATCGTAGTTGCTGCCAAGTAGAACCACACTTCCCCTTCTCAATCCCAGGATGCCCAAGGGCCCATCCCAACCTTCCTCCCAAAGCTCCCTTCTCTTTTTTCCCTCTTGGAAAGATGTGGAACACTCATCACTCTCTTTGCTGTAGAATCTCCCTACTTATACCCACTTACTAATGGTAGTGAGCCCCTCACTTCTGGGCTCTCTACCCTGCTAGACAGTCACCCCAGTGTATCCTAAGGACTCCTGGGCCTTGCTGTCCAATCAATTAATCAATAAACAATTATTAAGTGTCTACTATGTGCCAGGTATTGTATTAAGTGTAAGATACAAAAAGAGGCAAAAGATTCCTGCCTTTAAGGAGCTTACAGTCTGTTGGGGGAGAAAACATGCAAACAAATGTATACCAAGCAAGTTAAATATAGGATTGGTAGGAAATAATTAGCAGAGAGAAGGCACTGGAATTAAGAGGGGTTAGGGAAGGCTTCCTGTAGAAGGTGGGATTTTAGTTGGAACTTAAAGGAAACCAGGGAGGTCAGTAATCAAGAGTGGAGAAGGGAGAGAATTTCAGGCATGGGGGACAGCCAGAGAAAATACCTAGTGCTGATAGCTAAGTGTCTTGGTCATGGAAGAACCAGAAGGCCAGTGTCACTGCATTGAAAAGTATGTGTAGGAGGGAGTAAGGTGTAAGAAGACTGGAAAGGTAGGAAGAGGCTAGGTTATGAAGTGCTTTGCATGCCCAACAGTGTTTTGTAATTGTTTCTAGAGGAAAAAGGAAGCCCCTGGAGTTTATTGATTAGGGATGTTGGGGGTGGGGTAGGGGCTAGAATATGTGATATAGTCAGACCTTCGCTTTAGGAAAATCACTTTAATGGCTGAATGGAGGATGGATTGGAGTAGGGACAGACTCAAGGCAGCAGGCTATTGCAGTAATCCAGGCATGAGGTGATGAGGACTTGTACCAGAATGATGGCAGTGTTAGGGAGAAGGAGGTATATTCAAGAGTTGTTGCAAAAGTGAAATGGACAGGTCTTGGCAACAGTGGATATGGGGGGGGGGGGTGAGAGATAGTAAGGAATCCAGAATAACTCCTAGGTTGTGAGCCTGAGGGACTGGGAGGATGTTGTTGCCCTCTACAATAATAGGGAGGATTTGAGATGGGGGAGGGTTTAGGAAGAAGAATAACGAGATCCATTTTGTACATATTTGAGTTTAAGATGTCTACTGGACATCTGGTTCTAAATGTCTGAAAGGCAGTTGGAGATTGGCAGAGAGGTTGGGGTAAGATAACTGGTAGACATTCAGTCTCTCAACCTTTAGGACCTCTGATCCTTTCATTCTGTTTATATAGGTCTCTCCCAATTAGAGTGTGAGCTCCCCAAGAGCAGGAACTGCCTTCTTTTTTTCCCTCCTCCTCTTGCCCCCACCATTGTTGTGTATCACAGGGTTTGGCGCATAGTAAAGTTTAATAAATTTTGTTTTCATTCATTCATGGTGAGGTATTCCAGAAGTTCCTGTTTGTGGATGGACATACTGATTGCATTAATCCTTAGAACATTGAGAGCCTCTTGGAAAAGATCCCAAGGAGTTTGGCTTGTCCATTCACAGAGGAAAAATCCAAGTGGATGAGGAATATCTACTGCCCAGATTGCAACATGCATTTGAATGGACATTATATAGAACTTGTCCAAGATGAGAACATATCTGGGACAGTAATTGGGCCCACAGTTGAACAGAAGGGCAACAGTGTGCTGAATTGCTTTTGGGAAAGCTGACCCCAAGCTTCCCATAAAAGCAAAGTCACAGCTTTTCATTACTTTAAATTGGTGTTGCTATATGTTAGAGAGATATGGGATATAACTGTTTCTGAACTAAAAATGAGTATCTCACAGGGAGCAGTGAAGAGGGTTGTGAAGGATGTGAACAAGCTGCAGCATAAAATATCAACAAAGAACTTCAAAGAAGAGCAGGAGTAAAACATGTCATCAAGGAATTGTATATGATAGAAAGAGAAGATGGATTGGTCAGATGGCAAGAACAAAAAGATGATGGGTAGATAGTCAGAGTATTTCACCCTCTTGCTGTTAGAAGGAATCGACATAGGCCTTCAGCATGTTGGGTGGACCTCCTGTGGCAAACTTTTGGGAGGGAATAAACGAGTTCTACAGGATGGGCAGGCAAGGATTCAATGTGAACTGCATCATTGTAGGTAATTTATGAATTAATAAACTCACCTACCCATTTAAGTACATAAAAGGAAAATAACATATATAAAACAGAAGCAACAGATCGAGATGTGGAGTAAATGATAAAATACATATGGATGATCTTTTTTAAATTCTAAGTTTAATTAGTTGTAAATAGGTTTTGTTTTTGTTTGAGAATAGTACCTATTTAAATTAATTTTAAAAGTAAATAATGAAAAAAATTTAAACCTTAAGCCAGAAGAGATAACATTTCATCTTTTAGCTTCTAGCAGTGTTACCCACATATAAATCTTTTTTTTAAAGTAAACATTTTATTGCTATTCTTTTTATGTATCACTGTCATTTCCCATTGACTCTCCCACCCTTTGACCTCTAGAATCCTTCTCCAAACAAAAAAAGTATGGTTAAATAAAACAAATCAGCACATTGACTCTGCCTGACAACATCTGCTACATTCTATACATACCATCCACCATCTCTTCACTGATAGGAGGGAGGCATGCTTCTCTGTAGTTCACTGAAGTAACAATTAGTCACTGTTTTGATCAGAGTTCTGATGTCTTTCAGTGTTGTTTTCCTTTACATTATTGCCACAGAAATCCAATGAAGTTAAATTTCTTTGAAAATAGCTTCTTTAAAATCTTATTAGTATCTCTTTATTTTTCATTAGACAAATGGAGAGCTGGTTGTAATATACTTTATCTATGGAACCTTAAAGTCAGTTCTTGCAAAATGGTATGTATGTTTTTCAGCTAAGATTCCAAATGAAATCATTTGAGAGCATTGATTCTGCTGTTCCAAGGTCCAGCCGGGACCTTTGGGCAGAAATCTGTTCCTGTTTGCCAAATCCTGACCAGGGGGATGATCCCAAAGGTGCCTTCTCTGATTCCTTTATGGATTTATCTTCTGGGGGTGAAAATGAGAGAGAGGCTGCAGACTTGACTGTTCAGCCAGATCTAAAGCCTTGGACTCCATTGCAGGATTCAGAAGTATATTTAGCATCTCTAGGTGAGTACAGAGGAGCTTCATTGTCAGTATGGTATCATGGTAGTGAATTTTCTGTTCAGTTGAATCCTCTCCTTTTAATTTTCTTGTCCTAAGTGGTGTTTTGGATTATGCTTGTGTTTTTTAATATTTTTTTAAAAGGCTGTTGGGGTTAAGTGACTTGCCCAGGATCACATAGCTAGTAAGTATATGAGGCTGGATTTGAACTCAGATCCTCCTGACTTCAGGGCTGGTGCTCTATCTACTATGCCACCTAGCTGCCCCTGGAATATGTTGTTTTGAAGTCTCCCACCTTCCCCTGGTGTAACTTGGCTATCTAACTAACTCTTCCTGTGCGTCACTGCTCATGCATATACTTCTTGTTGAGTATTTTGCTTAAATGATTAGGATAATAATGCCTGCATTTCCTACTTTGCAGGCTGTTGAAAGGATCAAATAAAATAATATGTGTAAAACATTTTGCACACCTTTGCTACATAAACAAGTGATTATTCTGTGTAAGATAAGATTGTTGGAGAACAGATGCTATCCTTTAAATATTGAAAAGGATTAGACTTGTTTTGTTTGATTCATAATAAAGACCAATGAGTTACTGAAAAGCAGGTTTTGGCCCAGTAAAAAGTTCATAATGATTAGAGCTGTTTTCAAGTGGAATGGATTGGATATTTGTGAATTGATGGCTAGATGACCACTTGTAAGGGCCATAAGGGGGTTCCTCCCAAGTTGAACTTAGTGACCTCTGAATTTTTTTTTCCCAGTGCTGTGACTCTGGGATACTACAGTGACAGGACATAGGATATGTCATAAAATAATATATTTAAAGCTGGAAGGGACTATTCCAACACTTTCATTTTAAATATGAGGAAACTGAAGGCCCAAAAAAGGGTTATGTTAACTTGCCCAAGGTCACATAGGTAGTGAATATCTGAGATGGGATTTCTGACTCCCAAGTCCAGCACTCTATTCCTTGTACTACAAGTTGCCTCATGTCCTTTGATATTTAGGACACACCCATATCTCATTAGTAACCTATTTAGAAACTCGCAAGTTGGTTGCTTCTATACCTGATTAATTTCATGTATTTTATTTTGATTTTTATTAGCATTATTTTTAGATAGTGACATTTCTTAAACTTGTACCTAGATCCTCAGGGTGCAAAGAATTTGGAGTTTTGCCTTCTTATTCACTGGTCACATCCTATTTTTTGTGGCATCTGGTCCATTCTGAAGAATTATATGGCACTTTAAAAAAACTAAAATGTATAAAAATTTTAGGAGAAAAAACTTTTTAAAATTTTATAATGCTCAATGAGATAATTGTAGGAACCTTGATGATCAGGAAGTAATAATGATAATCATTGTTTTAGTTTTGGAGAAGGAAATTTAACAGAAATACAGATGAAGGAGTGAACTTAATTTTTAAGTAACAACATAGAAAGATAAAAGGGGAAGTTTTCGTGCATCGATAGAAAAGAGATAGTATAGTGGGGAATGATCAGGAAGATGAAGATATCAAATTAATTTGTTGGGATTCTGTCAGGGCAAAATAAATGAATCACAGGTATGGCTGAAGCATTGCAGCATGTTGTTGGAGGTATCTAGAGCATTTGTTTAATGACTGATAGAAAAGAAGTAAAAGGACAAAGATCCTTTTGACTCTGTCAGAGCCGTAGGCTTAGTGGGCAGTCAGTACACATGTAATAATGAGGACTATTTCAGCTGATAGTGACTGATTCTGAATGGTAGACTCCATTTTTTCTTTTTTATATTATTTAGGTGGGTGACTATACTTACCATAATTCCTTCTCTGAGAGGTAGAACCGTTATGGTAAACTGTGAAAAAGAGGTAGAACATCCAGAGAAAGAACTATGGAGTCTGAATGCAGATTGAAGCATGCTATTTTTTCTCTCTCTCTTTTTTTTTTGGAGGGGGTGGCAGGGTGGCTTTCTTCTTTCTCGTGGTTTTTCCCTTTCATTCTAATTCTTCTTTACAAGATGGCAAATGTGGAAATATGTTTAATATGATTGTACATATATAACCTATATCAGATTGCACACCATCTTGGGGGAGGGGGAGTGGAGGAAGGTGGAGAAAATTTAGAACTCAAAATTTTATAGAAGTGAATGTTGAAAACTAAAAACAAATAAAATTTTAAAAAAAGAAAAAAAGAGAGGTAGAATTGATTAGAGTATATAATGATGGCTGCTATACTACACTGACTAGATTTCCTTTTATCATCTTGGAGTAGAGGGCTCTGAAGAAATGGACGCTTTCCATGCCCAAAACATGACTTTCCCAAGACCAGAACAAGCATAAATTTCATGTGTTATTTTTATTTTCATATCTTAACAAATAATTGAAAGAATACTAAGTTTAGAAACAATGACTTTATTACTTGAACTCTTTTCCCACTGTTGAGAAAATGAAATGTCTCAAACATTTAACACTTAAAGTAGTTGGTTTTCTTGTTGGTGATTTACAACCTGATAATAATTGTTCTTATCAATTTACACTTTTAAAAGTTAAAACCATTGTGAGTCTTAAACTTTTTTTTTGGTTGTCATTTGAAATGGGTGGAGCAGTCATTTGGCCTAGATTTTTACAGATTAATCCGTATGTTGTAAAGAAAAAATAAAATTGGGAAATTAAGTAAATGCCCACATTCTTTCAAGTAAGAAGATCTGTTTAATAATTATACTTAAAATGCAAATAAAATTAATTAAATCTATCAACACACAGCATATTGACCACATTCAAAGGGAATGCAAGATACCTTGGTTTATTGAGTTTGAATGTCTAGGCTGCAACTTGACCAACTTAAAAAGTCTCTCTCTCTCTTTTTTTTAAACCTTTAACCAAGAATTTAATCATAGAGAGATCTTAGAAGTTTCATGTTATTGAGTTCTCACCAAAAATAAATTAGTGTCTAATGAACTGTTGGATCTTTCATCATTTCTCTAAGTCATCTTTTCTAGTTCTTTCTCATGAGATTTGAAGAAATGATTCATGTCACTGTATTAAAAAGTGCCATATATGTTACTTGGAGAGATTATTGTTGAGTTGGAAAATGACAGTATTCACATTGTCAGGAGAAACAAATATTCCTTAGAGAATAGCGTGATAGGCTTTTGTGATTACCAAGAAGGTGTACATTTGCTTTGATTATAAGGTTCTGTAGGTTTTACTATTCTAGGGGTTTTTTGCTTCAGAATGGAAAAAAAAGACATTGTGAAGGTAAGAAAAAAAAAATGTTGGTTTCCCTTATCATAACTGATTCATATCCAAGGTCATTTTGGAGGAATTGATCAGTGTTGAAAGAACTTGAATAATAAACGTTGGTTTTTCAGATTTAGCTGAAATCTCATTCATCATTAGGTATCTTTCCTTTTCTTCTTAGAGAAGAAATTAAAAAGAATTAAGGGTTTAAGCCAGGAAGTGACTTCCAAGGACATGCTTCGTACCCTTGCTCAGGCCAAGAAAGAATGCTGGGATCGATTCCTTCAGGAGAAGTTAGAATCTGAGTTCTTTATGGAGGGTCTTGAGTCTGATGAGAGGTAAAGAGCCACTAGGCAATAATATTTCTTTATATACATATACCATTATTTGTTTCAGATTTTCTCATTATAGAAACAGTCTTATTACTGAGGACAACTTTCTCATTCCACCTAAATCAGAGGACAGTCCTTTGTCCTGATACTAGTTAATATCCAATAAAATTCTTTGTTTTTTAAAAATGTAACTTACATTTTTAGATATTAAAAATATCCTCAGAAATTGTCCCTTTAACAGGAAAGTGCTTTATTTATGTTTAGGCCTGACATGGATTTTTGGAATATGTGTACTGTATTTGCTAAAGTGAATGTTGCAGGCTACACCTTGGTTATGTGAGGGTGAAGTACTTAGGTGTGTGGCAGAGATGAACCAGCCCCCTATGTATACATTTTTCAAACTTATTGTTAATGATATATTTTATTTTTAATCACATTCAATTCTGAATGTATCCCTTCCTTCTATTAAATGAGCCATCTTTTGTACCAAGAATAAAAAAGAGAAAAATACTGTAGCAAAACCAATCGGCACATAAAAGTCTGACAACATATGCAGTATTTCATACCCAAAGTTCCCCATCTCTTCCAAGAAAGATAGAAAGGTACATTTTCTCAATTCTTCTCCATAGCTAAGTTTGGCCATTATAATTTGTGTGTATATGTATGTATATATATATATGTGTGTACACACACATATATACATATGTATATATATACACATATGTATGTGTGTATATATATACGTGTGTGTGTGTGTATATATATATATATATATATAATTTTTAAGGTACTTATTTTAGTTGTGTTCTACTTTTAAAAAATTCCCCTTCAGTAATGTTTACTGAGAACCTACCCCAGATATCATGGTGATATAAAAAAAAAAATCCAATTCTTACTTTTAAAGCTTGCAACTTAGGAGGAGACTATATATACACATAGAAAGAAAACTAATAATGCAAGACAGAATGTATTAAATGAATGTTCTGAATAATAACTGTAAGAGCAGGAGATCATTGTGGGCAAGAGTGGGAAAGAAAGAGACCCTTAACATGGTAGCTGTTCATATGTAAAGGGGAGTTTACCCGTTGGATACTTTTATCTTGGGAACTGCTTGTAGTGGGAAACAAGAAGAGAGCCACTCACTTTCATTGGGGGTGTGTGTGTGTGTGTGTGTGTGTGTGTGTGTGTGTGTGTGTGTGTG